GATACACAGATGTTCTTGATGAAAAATGCATCAGCTGCACAGTCATACCCATTGAGCTGTAGTCTGAATTTTAATTTTGAACCAAATGTGCACAGCAAAGCCAAAACTTGGAACAAAATCAGCATTGCCTGTGGGTTTCTGAGATTTGAGACCCAAATAATCTGACCTGGGAATTTATTGCAGAAGATGCATTACAAATTATAAACCTCAGTGTAGAAATGAAAACAACCAGGCCAATTCAGCAAAATCCGGAAATTTTACTGAATTTTGCTAAAAAGCTTGGGGGGAGGGGGAGCATAATAAGAGTGAAAAAGGGTTAGAAGGTAGTCATATCATTTAATTTCCTTATTTGTTCTTTCAACTAGGCAAGTTACAGATGGCTGGTAGCTTCAGAGCAATTTTTTCCCATGTCACTTGGTACAGTGTTGTATTCTTGGATTACGTATTGAAGGAACAAATGTTAAGCTACACAAAGTTACTAAACAAGATTTTACAATGTAGAATATGTATGAAGACATTAACTACTGTCTAGTTCAGGTATTTGTGTGTCATCAAATCATTAAGGTGGTAATAATAAGTACCAATGGGTGTGTCTTTTGTTGTGTCTGACACCCAGTATTCCCTAAGGTATAAAGATGAGTTATCATTACTTTATTCATGCAAGCAATCTCCCTGCATAAAATGGGACTAGTAGTGAGAGTGAGGCAATCAGAATTTGATCTGTCAGTGGTTCCTACACGGTATTGAGCAAGCTCAACCTCAGCTTAACTAGGAATTGAAGCTGCTCAGAATCTTATAGGAAACTGTTTAAACCTTATTGTTTAGGACCCCCTAAACAATAAAGCAAAGCGGGGGGAGGGAGGAGCATTTCTTCTAAAGACTTCTCTCTAGGGAAGAGGAAAGGAGAGTTGTAGAAAGGGATGAAGAGAAAAGTTCAGTGTGCTGTGGAGGAAAAGGTACAGAGATTGCATAAATATGCGTTAAGACATATTTAGAACGTGAGACTGCCACCTCTGAAGTCAAAGATAGAATTCTTGTTGACTTTTTTGGGAACAGGATGGCCATCATTGCTCTCTGACACAAGCCAGTTCAATATTTATAAGACTATAAATACCACATACACTATTTTAAAGGAACTAAAAATGTATTAGTACTATGCTATGCCATAGCCCAAGTGTGATTACTGTCACCTTGAAGACTGAAGAGTTGTAAAAGACTATATTATCTGTCCTTTGTTTCAGATGTGGGTGAATTCAGTTATGTAATCTCTCCCTTTCTAGTTCCTCATATGGTAAGGCCCACATGAGGAACATTTAGTTTTGTGAGTACTTGTCCTGTAATTGGAGGCATATATACAAAAAAACCCAATATTTAAGGTCTAGAGGTCAAAATATTGCTTTCTGGATTATTTGAGCAAGTGCTTAGCTCCAAACAATCATCAGTGAATTAAATGTTGGGTATTTTATTTTAAAGAACACTGGAGACGCTTTGTAGATTTGTTTCTTATTGCTGTACCTTTCATTAAATACAGTTATTTGTATTATTTAATTATTCTGCTCATCACATCAAAACAGCCATTTGATTTCCATTCACATCTCAATTAAGAGAGGGCATGACTGCCACAGTGCTCTGTATGGGCAAGCTTTTTTACTCCAGCTCCAGCTCAGGAACCCTATAACCAGTAGGAGCATTCTGCTTAGTCCTGCTCCTTGCTGTTTCCCTGGGCTTCTTCCAAAGCAGCCTCTCTCATGCTTTCTTCTTTGTAACTTCTCTGGATAGACTCTTCTTTCAGAGTTAGGATCCAGGGCTTATTTTCTCTTGCAGGTGTCCTTTTTGTATCCAGAGCATAAGAGCAGACATTCTCTCTTCTGCTCTCATCATACTGGCTTAATGCTAACCAGCCTGCACCTGCCTAACTGGGCTTCATGATCTTTTAAGCCTGGCTCTCCCTCCAGGTGCAGCCAGATACCATAACTGACCTCTCAGGCTCAATTTAACCTTTATCCTTTTCATGGCTGATTGAGGTACACACCTCATCACAGTCTCCCAAGATATCAGCAGACTCAACAGAGTCTCAACATGCTTAAACATGTCCAGTGGTGGAACAATGTAGTGTCACATGACAGAGCATACACTACTAAATTCCTAGAATTTTCTACTTATCATTCCTTTTGAATGGGTTTACTTTATGTAGTATGTATAGCTACATACATAGATAAAGGACCATAGTTAGGATAGTAACTTGTGTCAACAGGAGACTTGTGTCAATTCCCTGAACTACCACTGACTTCTTGCATAGACTTGGGCAGTTCACTTTGTCTCTCTACGCCTCAGTCCATCATCTCTGAAATGAAGATAATACTGTTTTCCTATCCTATCTCACAGGTGTGTTGCAAGGATCCATAGACTGTAAGCTCGTTGGGACACGGCCTGTCTTTTTATCCTCTATTTGTACAACATCTAACACAGTGGGGGCCTGGTTTTTGGGGATCCTAGGTGATACCATAATGTAAATAATAAAGACAAAACCAATTATGAGGCACTCAGCTATTACGGAGAAGTGAGTCATATGAGTACCTGCTAAATCAACATTTATACATTGTTTATAATAGAATTATTGTAAGTAAAAGAAATACTCTAGTAACCCAGTGCCTCGAAAGTCCCTTCTCCCTGGGTTCTTTCCTAATAACACATATTGGCATTGAAGAGCAATAACAATAAAACCCTGAGTAAGGCAAGTAAACTCCTAGCTTGCTCCTTTATGTAATGTTTCTTCTTTGAGTTTTCCTGAAAAGATCCTCCAGGTTTTGATTTCTGTTGGTATATTCTCCTTTAAAACTTGTTTCTGTCAGCAAAGTAAGCAGAAATGACCCTGAAACATGGGGTGAATACTATTCCTTCTCCCTGTATCTTACCCTCCCTCATCATTTTCCCCTGAAGGTATTAGTTAATTCGAACTAAGCTAATTCGAACTAGTGCATCTAGACCTAAAAACTAGTTTGAATTAGCATTTTGCTAATTCGAACTAGCATGTCCACATTGAGTGGACCCTGAACCGAGGTTAAGGATGGCCAGAAGCAGTGCAGGCAGGGCATCAGATTAGGACTTAGAGCGTGGAGCTGCTGTCTCAGGCTAGCCAAGGGCTGTGCTTAAAGGGACCCGACCCCCACCCCGGACAGACAGTTTTCAGGGGTTCCCCGCTCGCTTGTCTAACTCGATGAGGGACAGCAAAGCAGTCCTGCCTTGGAGTGCCCTGAATGCCCAAACTCGGCACATCACAGCACTCGGCCATCAGCCCGGCTGCACTTGCCGCAGGCTGCCATCCGGAGGGGGGGGGTCAATCGGGAGGCGGGGGTCAATCAGGAGAGCTTCCACCCCGAGGAGCCCGCAGAGCCACTCCAGTCCTCCCCATTGGGGGCTTGTACCCCATTCCTCCCTCACCTCCTTCCACTTACCCCTCCCTAGCCC